TTCTTTCTCAGAGCTCCATCTGCTATCAGAAATCACGCGGACTGCTCTGTGTAAATACTTTTTCTTTTGCTAAGAAAGCCAACACAAACACAAATGTTTTGAGGACATTAAAAAAAATCCAACAATATGAGCAGCTTTTGTAACCAGCTCTGTTATCTTCACCGTTAAGCAAACAGCTTTTAATGAACAGACTTTAATTTCCCCTGTGCCTGTCACAGTGTTCCCACCTTTGATGAAATCAGAAAAAAAAAAGAAATGCGTTGAAAGAGTTACGAACTTCAGGGTATTTTGTTTATCTGAAATTGTGAATCACTTTCTTTCCCTTTTCTTTTGAAGTTGTAGCAGTGTTACTGGGATGACTGGAGCAGAGCAGGTTTTGGTTGCTGTATCAGGGTCATCTCCTGCGTCATTCAGCCGCGAACAAGCCTGGTGTCCCAGAGCGCTCATTGCTCCTGCTCTCAATCGGGGACATTGGGCTTCATCAGCCCCAACTGGAGCCCTCAGTGACCTGCTGGTCACTGACACAGGGCACCGCACTTCGTGGAGCCCGGAGCTCGGGAGAGCCGTTCCCCGGCATCTCCGGGGTCATCGGCCCCTCCAAAGGAGGCACCTCCGAGGTCCCGGTGTGCGGCAGTGGCCGCTTTCGAGGCGGCTTCTCCACCCTGGGCAGGTCTGGAATGGCTTTACAGCACAGTCAGGCTGTGGGCTTGGGAAGTGCCCTCCATCCTCTTGGTGAGGGAAAAACGGATGTTCTGTAGAAATGGCTGGATGATCTGCTCCGTCTCGTGACTACCGACATGAGCACACCAGACCTTCCGTCAGGTGTCACAGCTGAGGCAGGGTCAGAGCATCCCGGCTCCCGACACTGCTGCGAGAGCTGGACCACAGAGCGGGAGCCTTCAGAACGAGCTCCCCCACTGCTGCAATCAAAAGGCTCTGGTTGTGGCCTGGATGAGGAAGAGTTATACTGGTCAGACCCGAGGAAGCCCCTGAGCTCAGGAGGGGACCCGAAAGTGCTCAGACCCCCATGCCTCAGAGTGGTAAGAGAGTAGGTATGACACAGAGAGGAGAAGCAAGCATTTGTCTCAGTATCCCACCCAGCAGAACATGAAGGAAAGCATGAAGGAGAGGCCTCTGGGCTCTGGTGCATTTCCTCTTCTTCCTCATCCCAGAGTTCCTTCCCACAGTGGAAGGAAACTGCTGCTGCAGCTTTGAAGGACACTGGTGGTTTTGTGTTTAACAGCCCCTGGGAGCCGCCAGACCCAGAGGAGCTCATGGAGGGGCAGCAGTGGGACCTCTTCAACCTTGCACGTTGGCCAAGCCAGGGCTGTGCAGGGAGCAGGCTCAGCTGCTCCTGGGACCACGCTGCCCGACCTCGATGGAGGATGTCCAGAGACCTGCTGCAGCCATCACTGCTCTCTGCAGCCCTGAGCAAGCACCAAGAGCATCGCCAACCCGCACTGCAGGTTTTGCAATGGGTAACAGAAGCTGTGGCATTTACCAGCTGAGCCCGAAAGGCCACCAGGATGAGAGGACAGACCAGTCTCATCTGAGCGTGCACTGCCCACCAAGCCCATGCTGTGCAGAGCACTGGGCAAAAGGACCTTTGTGCTTTGGTGACGAGAGTGGGGCAGGTGGGAGCGTGGCTGTGACGTTTCCACAGGACGGAGAAGCTCCAGCCCTGCAGGAACAGCCCGTTCCTGCTGCAGTCCAGGCTGCAGGAACCAGGAGGCTCCTGACAGGACTATGACTGCTGGTGTCAGTGTCTCCACGGCCCTCCACATTATAATGATACAGCAAAAGCCCACCTCAAAAGTCGTGCAAAGCACAGTGACCTTCCAGAAGAAGGCCTGAAATTATGGCAAGATTCCCCCTGAGCTCTCCCACACTGCTTCAGCTCCCTTCTGCCCGTGGGTCTTTATGTTCACCTGGGGCACTTCAGCAGTGCTGGTGGTCACTGCACTGAGCTGAGTCTCCCCTCTTTCCCACCTTGCCACCCATGAGATTCGCCCAAGCGGAGGCAGCAGATGAGTTTACTCCGTCAGCCTGCATGGCTGGCTTCAGGGAGGGAGGGAGAGGGAAGGACGAGGGCTCTCCTTGCCGGCCAGGCTGATGGTGAAGTTAAACTCAGACTGTGTACAGATGCACAGAACTGTCCCTGCTGCTCCTCCAGCAATATCTATCCCTCACTCTTCATGTTTCCACCTGTTTTTCACAATTGTCTGAGGCAGATTGCCACTGACTTCAGGTGAAATAAGGTATTATCGATACAACTGGTACATACACCGATGAGAGGAACAAGAGAATCTTCAATAAAGCTATTTTGGTGTTGAGGGATAAATCAAATGTACAGCAGCAGAGTGTTGGGCAATCAGCCAGCTGTATGGGCACTGCTCAGCAGTGCAGTGTTCTTGCAAAGACAGAAAACGTCCCTGTGGGATGTGTAGGATGTAGGAGACCATTGTCCCTTTGCACTCCATACTGGAGTCTTGAATTCAGTTTTGGACATCGTGGTTTAAGGGATATGTTTCCCTTAAACACAGGCCAATAAAGCCTTTCTCGACTTCACGGGGCTCTTCAGCATGTAAACACCTTCAGCAGCAAGGGGCTGCAGGGTCCCTCAGCAATGCAAGCTATACCCATGAAGACAGGAGGACAGACCATCATCTGGGCTGTGGCAAACAGCGCTTTGCCCATCCAGCTATGGTGCACGTACCAGGCTCCAGTCTGATGACCGATGAGATGTTCGCAGTCTAGTCACTGAAAAAATGGGTGAAGGAACAAACGGAAGCAAAGCTGTAGGACAGCAAACAAAATCAGCAGCAGTAGGTGATGGTAAATCAGCAGACGTAAGAGCCTTGATGCTCTTCAACTGAACTCTGCCCAGTCTCTGCTAGATGGACCATTCAGGGGACGCATCACTGGGATAAACCAGTAGCAATGAAGGGGCTGATGACCCAAGCCCACGTTTCTAGAAATCCCACCACCCTCAGCTTCTCTTCAACCTCCAGTGCAAACCTGTTCCTCCAGGGTGAGAAGTGCTTGGTGCTGCTTTCCAGACCCTGTCCCGCGTCCCCCTCACCTCCAGCAGTGCTCAGCATCTGCTCCCCCAGCCAGGGCACGGGCATTCCCCCATGAGGCAGAAGAGGCGGATTACACGCTCCCGGATCTGCCTGGTCCTCACCCCGTACACGATGGGGTTGAGCATCGGCGGTACCACGACGTAGAGGTTCGCCAGGAGGATGTGAACGTGACTTGGGATGTGGTGTCCAAACCGATGCGTGAGAAAGGAGAAAAAGGCAGGCACGTAGAACATGAGGATCACGCAGAGGTGGGAGCCGCAGGTGCTCAGGGTTTTGAGGCGAGCCTCCGGGGACGGAAGCCGAAAGACGGCCCTGAGGATCAGAGCGTAAGAGACAGCGATGAGCACGACATCCAGGCCGGAGGAGAGAAGAGCCGTTGTCAGCCCATACCAGACATTGGCTTTTATGTCAGCGCAGGCCAGGCGGGCGATGCCCATGTGCTCACAGTAGGTGTGGGGCATGACGTTGTGTCCGCAGTACGGCAGCCGCTTGAGGAGGAAGATGGGCGGGAACATGATGCAGAACCCCCGGACAATGGCAGTCACAGCTATTTTGCCGATCACCGAAGGGGTTAAGGTTGAAGAATACCGCAGTGGGTCACAGACGGCCACATACCGGTCAAACGCCATCGCCAGCAGAACGGACGATTCCACGATGAAGCTGAAATGGGTGAAGAACATCTGTGTAATGCAGGCATCAAAGGAAATTTCCCTGGCACTGAACCAGAAGATAGCCAGCATTTTGGGCACCGTCGTGGTCGAAAGCATGAGGTCAGAAACAGCCAGCATAGCGAGGAAGAGGTACATGGGCTCATGGAGGCTCCTGTCCGTGATGATGACAAAGAGGAGGACAGAGTTGCTAAACACAGCAGTGATGTACATCAGACAGAAGGGGACGGAGATCCAGATGTGGGACTCCTCCATGCCCGGGATGCCCGTCAGGACGAAGGTGATAGGATCAAAGCTGCTTTCGTTGAGCTCATACATGGTGCTTCAGTGCTCCGTGTCAGCCTGACTCTGCTCTGCGCAAGAAAGAGAAGGGATAAATAACGCCTGGTGAGCCTGCTGTTAGCCCATGACCACCTACAAATGTGTACAAGTCGATGCATGCAACGTCCTGTTTGCAACCACCTTCCAACCTGAGCCATTCCTGAAGGCCGAGGGGTTGACTCGCTGTGTTTTGCTGTACAAAGGAATCTATTCATTCTTTCCCATCAACCCTACAAACTGCATCTGTAACAAAAACATCTTCTCTGTCCCTCCACGTGCACTGCAAAACAGCCCAGGCCCTCTTCTATCTCCACTTTATCCACTGTCACAAAAAGGCTTGTAAAAGTCATAATTACTTGCCTTGTCGCTGTCGGTGGGCTCTATATCTGTGCGCACCTGGGAAGCCGCGTGTCTTTGCTAGGGCTGTGTTTCTTCAGATCGATGAAATAATACAAAATCTCACTCCAGTCAGGTCAGTGACCAGTTCATTTCTGAGACCTCCTTGTACAAACTATTAAGATAGGAATAAAAACTGTACCAGTACCGACACTGGTAAGTGTCTTGGATGTGGCTGACATTCAGCTACCACCTCTGGAGGTTGAGACCACCCTTGAAACTTCTGCTGGATGTGTCACTCCCTGTATTTCCACCTGTATGAACATGACCATCCATTTGCAAGCACTGCAAAGTGGTTTTTGTGCCTCTCCCCCATCCCACAGGGATTTCAGAGACGCAAACACTGGCAAACACCAAGGGGGGAGTGGAGAGCTGGGCTGGACTTTCAGCCCATGCCCAGACTTTCTGAACGCCCTGGGGCAACTCTCTTTCCTGCCTGTTCCTTCATTCCTTTTCCTCTCCGTTGTATAGAGCAGCAAAGACATGGTGGGCTGCACAGCACGATCGTTGGAGAAAGAAATGCTGGCCCAAAATGCGGGGCCACAAGTGCCATCAGGGCAACCAAGTCACGGTAACACTCTGGCGAGTACCGACTCCTGCGCGGATGCTCCGCCAGTGCGGGACCGTGACAGCCTCTGAGCTCAACCTCCTCCAGTTCTCCCCGTTCCCCAGGTGCCAGGGTAGCCCAAACATGGAGCAGAGTCCCACCGAGGGCTGGGCAGCCTGAGGCTGTTCTTGCAGATTTGGATAACGCAAACAAGTCAAGCCTGCAGAGTCCGCTGTGGACGCTTTGCCATGAGAGGGGCTTTGAGGAGAAGACTGATGGTTTCACATGCAGTTTTCGTGATTCCCCCTATTGCGCCCATTTGCAGCCCTCCCCCCATCCCCCACGTGTGCTCTATCAGACACTAGAAAAAGCCGAGGCCAGGGTTGGGATGTAGGAAAATTAATGTAATTTGGACCAAAGTTAAGCCTTCCTTCTTCAGACCTGCTTGCAGCCTGGTTTACTTTTATTGCAAACCGCAGGTATCTAAGTGCAAGACGTGTTTGCATTTCCATTAAGAGGGATTCCTCTCCTCTACGAACCGAAAGTCCACTGAAAACATCAGTCAGTCTAGAAAAGATCTTCAGCTCATCACAAATGTTTATCCAATTGCCTCTTCCACTTTTAAAACCACGTAATTCAGCAGAGGTGAATAAAGATAGCCTGGGTCTATAATTGTAAATTAAATCAGCCTGGGAACGTTCCCAGGCGCCAATGCCAGGCGATGTCTGACTGCATACGGCTTACAGAGCAGTTCAGCAAGACTTTACACCTCCAGTTCTAAGTGATAGGGAAATATATTTCTCTCACATGCTGCTTCACTTCCTTTCCTTCTTTTCAAACGAGAAAGCAGTCCCCCAAACACCGGTGTTCAATATAAAATGACTCACCAAGGGCCAGCCCCAAGGAGGAACGAGGAACCTCAGCCCTGATCAGTGCAGAGCTGCAGGGGAGCGCAAATCCCCGTCTGTGCTGCGAGGGCTGGGGACATTAATCCTTCCCCCTCCCAAGTCCCAGAAGGAACATCAGCCCATCGACTTGCACAAGTTTAAATGTCTCGTGCATTAAAGATTAACCCCCGTTAACACTCCCAGGTGAGTCAAGATATTTCCTGCTTTTCCATCATTTGCATTGCAAGTGTTTTCACTCCGTCCCTGCCCCGGCACCGGCTACGTCTCCCGAGCACGGCGAGGGCTCGAGGGGCAGAAGGGCACCGCACGGCGCCCAGCAGCGCTCCCAGCCTCCAGCGGAGCATCTCCCACCTCCTGTGGGGGCGTTTGATCCCCCACAGGGTGAAAACTGTCCCGTTATACTGGCGAAACCTTCCAGAAAAGCCTCCGCATTTTGCTCTCGCTGCCCTGTGCCGCTGCGGGAGGGGTTCCTCCCCCTGCCCGGCTCCGGCCCATGGTCAATGATCTACAAACAGCGAAGCCCACGAGGGGCCGCGAGCACAAAGCTGCACTGACGGCGCTGCAAAGCAGAGAAGGCTGCAGAGGTTTCTACCCAGATGGAACTGCTAGTCTGAACTGGCATCAGCTGGAAAAACAGGAACACCACAGTTGCATAATTTATAATATACTGTTATTGCAAAACAATTTTTAAAGTACAGGATGGTAGCAAAAAAAAAAAAAAAAAAAGAAAAGAAAAAAAGTGCAACAATAGGTCCGTCTGTTCAAAGGATGCAAAAAATGAATTAAAAGATGACCTGAAAATACTTTGGCTGCAACCAACATGTTGAAGATCCATTAATGCAGCAGAAAAAAGGGTCTGAATACATAGGACTATATGAACTAATGTGGGGTTTTTTCATCCCAGGACAAAATCAAAATGACTGAAAGTAACTGTTTGGGGTTTTTTCTATGAAACAGAATAGTGCGAATTCTATATATCTTGGCCTGCAATGAAACGTTCATCATTCGGTGATTTCTTGTTTTGTTTCAGTGCTGTAGTGCCTCAGGTTCAGAAATAATAGGTAGCCAATACATGCAGACAGAAAAGAGATGCCGCTCTGGTTTTTTAGCAGTCATATATAAATACGGATCGTCTCCCTCCGACGAACTGCCCCGCTCTCGTCTGCTGAGCCCTCACTGTCGGAGCTCCGATTTTATCTACCTGGAAAAAATTCAGCGAGTTTTTGGGTGCCGCCTGTGCCATTAGCAACAGCGATCACAGCGGGTCCTGCCCAGGCCCCTCTTTGCTCCCGAAGGTGGGTTTGCTGCTGAAATGTCGCAGTAATTCCCAGTTTAACATCTGCTGCCAGAGAGGGGCCACACGAACACCCCTGGGTCTGGGGGCTGCCGTGCTCCGGGGGCATCGATGCCAGTGCCGGGGGACGGACCCTGGTGCCTCCTCGGGGCTTGGGCAGTCCATGCTGCCTCAGTGGGGTCAGGCAGGAGAAGAGCTGTGGTGTGAAGGGCAGGGATCCTGCAAACGGGTTCAAGATATCATAGGATCATAGAACCACAGAACAGTTTGGGTGGGAAGGGACCTTAAAGACCATCCAATGCTACCTCCTGCCCTGGGCAGGGCCACCTCCCACCAGCCCAGGTTGCCCCAAGCCCCGTCCAACCTGGCCTTGAACACCTCCAGGGCTGGGGCAGCCACAGCTTCTCGGGGCAACCTGCCCCAGGGGATCACCACCCGCACAGCCAACAATTTCTCCCCAAAATCTCCCCTCTGTCAGTGTCAAAGCGTCCCCCCTCGTCCCACGGCTCCCCTCCCTGATCCAGAGTCCCTCCCCAGCTCTCCTGGAGCCCCTTTAGGCACTGGAAGGGGCTCTGAGCTCTCCCCTTTTTGGCCTTCTCTTCTCCAGGCTGAACCCCCCCAACTCTCCCAGCCTGTCCTCCCAGCAGAGGGGCTCCAGCCCTCCCAGCAGCTCCGGGGGCCACTCTGGGAACTCAGCGTGGGCCACAGTGGGGAGATAAGCCTTGCCCAAAGCAGGTCTTGTGATTCTGCGCTGTTGGGATGCCGGGGAAGAGGGCAGGACACATCCGTCCATCCTGGGAGCAGGAGCACCATGCCCTGCGGAGGTTGACCTGGGGCTTTCCTGTATATTAATGCTGTCATTCTGCCATACGATGGACCACAGCATGAGGAGCCTGAGGGCATGACAAGGGAATGGTCCAACGCTCCTGAATAACTTGTGTTTGCAGAACCCACGACAACTCTTGAGGAGAGCTTGTGTGCCAGAAAAACAACTTGTTTTCTGTCAGCCAGTCCAGTAATCATTCTCCCATCAGACAATGTCTCGTGTCTGGGCACCTGCAGGTGCTGGAGATCTTCCCAACCCACATGGAAAGTTCATCTTATCAGGGTATGGTTTTTAATTTCCTTTTCATTTCTCTCCCTGCGGTTTCTAAGGAGCAGAGCCGGCCCAAAGCCTTTCACAGAGAGGAAGAGCCATCCCACCTCTCAGCTGTTAGAAATGGGGAGGAACTTGGATTTCATGGATTTCACATCAGAGGGTATTTTTAAGAAAAGATGGGGTACTCTTCAGCCACACACTAATTAGAGGAAGCTGAAAATTCAGATGTCTTCCCAAAAAATGTCTCTCGCACTACTGCTAGTGAGGGATAATAAGAGAACACTACAAAAATATTAAAGCTACATGTTAAAACTGTTTTCTTCTTGCCCAAACCTGTACACAGAAGGGCAGACAGAAGAGAAGAGAGCCCAGGCTGCCAGCCCCTTCATTCGTGCTCATGTTCAGGCCGTCGCCCCAAAGCTGCCGTGCACCGGTCAGCGAGCACCCAACGGCTGCAGCGGGGGAACTGCCTCCTCCACCTCAGGTACCTGGTAACCCTTCCTTTATACCGCGGTTATTTGCTGCCCAGAAAGGAGGAGATGTAATAACAGCCTGCCGGCGTGCGACAGGGTACTGGGAACTGGCAAGGGGTGCTGCCGACCCTGGGGGAAGCCCAAAACAAAGATCGGTATTTATCACCGGGGTCAGACACTGGGAAAATATTGGGAAGTTCAATTCAGAGGTGAACAACTTCCAGAGGGACTGGAGTCTGCATCACGGGGGATTTACAAATCAGGTTAGGCAAATGCTGATCAGGACTGGCATAAAATTGTCTCCACCCCAAAAAACTTGTGTTTTGGCTGCCAAGAAAGCCAGGCATGGGGAAGGCCAGAGAGACAAGTTCTCCGTGCCAGCCCCTCTCTGTGTCTGTTCGTCAATGTTATCTGATTCTGCCGTGGCACCTGACGAACCGACTCGCCAACAGCACGTGGGTGACCGTGGAGGTGGGGTTGGGCAGCGCCACAGCAGCACAGACTGCGGGGTCCAAGGCCCAAAGAGCATCACCTCTTGGAGATATGCCCACCTTGGACAACGGGGCCTTTCCCGTTGTGTAAACAGCTGGGGAGCAGCAGCAGAAAGAATCAGCACAGCCCCACACTCGACACAGTACAGCGCAATCCCTAGGAGCTGACTTGGCTTAGAATCATAGAATTTTCTAGCTTGGAAGAGACCTTTAAGATCATTGAGTCCAACCGTTAACCCAGCACTGCTAAAACCACTGCTAAACCATGTCCCTCAGCACCACGTCTACCCGTCTTTTAAATTCCTCCAGGGATGACAACTCCACAACTGCCCTGGGCAGCCTGTGCCAGTGCTTGACAGCCCTTTTGGTGAAGGAAATTTTCCTAATATCCAACCTAAACCTCCCGTAGGGCAACTTGAGGCCGTTTCCTCCTGTTCTATCACTTGTTACTTGGGAGAAGAGGTCAACCCCCACCTCTCTACAACCTCCACATTGGGGATTTGTGGAACTGAGGGTTGACACCCGAGGTGGGGCATCCTCAGCTCCTTGAAAGCCACAGGCTACGCGTGGCTGAGCTCCAGTCTGACACAGCTGTTGCCCCTCAGCTCCTGTCTGGAGGGGGTCGTCCATGCCGGGGCTACAGTAGGGCAGGTCCACCAGCACCAACACCTTCTCCTGCGTGGGCAGTGGAGCAGGCACCCACGTTGTGTGTTTTGCTGGTTCTTCCACTCTCATGACAGGACTGCAGGCAAGCAAACA